CTACGCAGCCTCTTCTGCGAACCCAGCTGCCAAGGCACAAACCACGTGAACTCGAGGCTGCTTTCTAACATACAGATTGTCTAATAAAATCAAGTCTTTCCTCCTCTCCTAGCTCATGACTGCACGGGGGACCCTGGATGCAGAGCAAGACGCCCGGGCCAAAGGGCTCTGGAGTCAGCCTTCAAGCATCGAACAAGCTGAAGCTGGCAACGTGCTGCGCTTTTAATGCCCCAACCTGGAGAAGGGCAGGCGTCACACCGAGTGACACCTCCGCTGTGTCTTGTCTCTCCCAGTGATTCACCCTTTTGGGCCTGGGCTCATCAGCACAAAGCAAACTCCCTTCCCATCACATCATCCCCCGGGCACTGCAAGGAGAGGAGAAAGCCGGAGGAAAGCACCGGTCTGCAAGCTGAGGTTGCTGCCACCAAAGAAACTCGGATCGCCCCTTGCAACACCTCTCCTCCCCCGGCCTGACCGACTGCATGGCATGGCACAGCCTCGCGCTGTAAGAGTTGGCGCTGTCTGAAAGAAATGGTGTGAGAAAGAAAAAGTACGCTGCCTCTGAAATCTGCTGGATCTTCCCCAGCTTGGGGGAGAAAGCTTTGACCTTGCTCCTCCACCAGGGATACACCGTACAGCAAAGTGCTGCAGTTTCTTCTCCTCTCTAGGACTGCAAGAACAAGGGATAATGTCTCTTACCTGTCAACTTATTTTCAGAGAGACTGCAGGTCTACTGAGCTGGCACTGATGGGTCGGGTCCCTTCCTGCAGAGCACGGAGGCAGGTGGGCCGTCAGTCACCCGTTGCTCTCTGTGCGGGCTTGCCCGCTTCTGCGCACTGGGGTCCTCCAAAAGCCAAAATGCTGATCATAGCGTTAACCCCCAAACTTCGGCTTAATTAGCTGGGCAGGCAGCTAAAAACACTCCATGCGATCTGGTCTGGTTAGAAGGGACAATACCCAAAACACTAAACAGTAACGGGTGCGGATCAGTGGACTTGCAGTCGCGGAGAAGAGAGACTGACAGATAAGAGAAACGTTCCCCTCTTACTTAAGACATGTTCACTGATGTGGCACTGATGGGATGTGACTAGTAAAGCAAATTCTGAGTACGCAGGGAGAAGACAACACCGATGGAGCAAAATCCTGCTCTCCCCTTCCCATGGGAGCAAACTCCGCTCGTGTCCCAGAGGACACAGCAACCTCCCTCCAAAAGCTCGCTATGCCGCTCTCTTGCCGCCTTCCTCTGCCTCTCTGACCACCAAAGAACAGTTCCCTGGACACCTGTTTTTACATCCAACTGCAAAGCTGGGTGTCTTCTGTCCTTCTAAGAGAAAACCCAGCCCCAGCACCAGGCAGAAGAGCCCTCGGCTGTTGCCACACAAGAGCACTTGTCAGGGCTGCAGAGAATTGAGCCTAGAGGTAACGCTGTTCTGAGACCTGGAGCCTGTGGTTTCAGTTCAAGGTTTCCTTTCCCTTCCCACATGTTGGCCCAGAAAGAGCTCACAACCCCCATGAGTGACATCGCTGTTCCCAAATCTGTTCCTGATCTTTCTGTGAAAGCACAGAACCGGATAAAACGCTTGGTCCCAAACTCTCTGCTCCTGACTAATCATTAGGACAAACTATTTCCAGTTAACTCCTGAAAATCTATCCCATTGGATACCATTCAGCGGTTTTGCCCATACACTGATAGCTCTCCAGGGCCATAAGTGCTTTTGGATGACCTTTCAGCAGGGCCTGTCCAGCCCCAAACCTGCAGCATCCAGGTGGAAAAGGTTCCTCTCCAGTCTCTCACCCGGGAGGTCTCGATGCCACTCGAGCGACAATTTTGCTCAGAGGTCCTCGGGAGGGATCTCCGCAGATGGAAGTGATGTTTTGGATCCAGCTGGGATATCTCTAGCTATGCTTGCTCTGCCACTGCACGAGCAGAGACATGCATGCCCCAACTCCTGGAAAGAAACCCCATCCACTAGCAGGCACGGCCTGTGAAACACGCATGGCTTAAAACCTACTGAATCCGAGCAGATCAGTCGGCTTTGCCACTCCGTCGCAGGGATACTCACGGCAGAACTTCTGGAAATCCGCCTGCAGCTCCTTCCTCGTGCCCATGAAGATCCTCCCCTTCTCTGTGCCCACCACGAAGGTGCTCTCATCGTGCACGGCGATGCAGGCGACCTCGGCGTTCAGCTTGGAGAGCGCTGAGCACTGTGGGGAGAAGCGCCTGGGTTAGAGCAGGGCCCACGTAAAGCCAGAGTGGGAGGTTTTCCAGGTAAAAAGGCTTTTTCCTCAAAAGGGATGTTCTTGTTTTGGCCAGAATTTTCTGGTTTTTTAATAACATCTCAAACTGTTCAGACATTTGGGTAACTTTACTTTAGGACGCCTTTTATAAAGGCTTAGACACATGAAAGGAAGTTTGTTTTAGTTGAAAACTAGAAGTGTTTACCAATCACTTTGTTTCAGCTTTTCCCATCACAAAAGTAACCATTTTATACATTTTTTCCAAAAAAGAAAACACTTCCATAAAGAAATAATTTGTATTTTTCCACCAGCTTTAATAAAATATGAAGCACGGGAATCTTATTTCAGTTGTAGAACACTAATAGTTCTATGGTCAAAATCTGGATTAGGCGGACGATTCTTCTCATACAGTTATGCAAAACATTAAGGAGCTGGAAAAGACTTCATTAAACCGTTTTACGTAACGTGTGCTTCCTGCTATATATAACATACATGGATATGCTTTTTTTATTATTATTTTTATAATGGTTACGTAGGGCCTGCAATGAGTCATATTCCCATAGCTACAGCACCGACACTGTGCAGACAGCATCCAGGGTGCACAATTTGAATAGATAAAAGGATGGCAAGCAGGAGCTCCCCCCTCACAGAGCGAGGCGCTGAAGCCCGCGGGCACGAGGTCACTTGCCCAGGGCACGGATCAGAGTCTGTGGCAGAACCAGGACCCAAACGTGAATCCCTCACTCAACGCCGTGGGGTCTGGCTCTCCCGCTGGGCTTTCGCCTGCCTCAAGAGGGAAGGGGGGTTTCCCTCAAGACGCGATGAAAAAAATGCAACAAAAAAAAACAAAAGCACAGGAGACCCACAGAGCAGAGGAGCCCGTAGGGAGGTCGCAACTGTCCCTCTGAGCAAGTCACAGCTCTTCTCAGCTTTAACTCCAGAGGAGCTCCACGAAATTGCATGGGGAATTTGGTTGGGAGAGCCCCTGCCACGGCTGGTGAGCCCGCCTGCACAGCTCCTGGGATTTCCCGGCCCCACAGAGGTCTGGGTCCGCCACGGTGCCTTTGCATTGCTTCCTGGTGCTGCTTTTCCCCACCTTGCCCTTGGAAAAGCACTGGCTACAATTAATATCAGCATTCAACTGCCCATCAGCCAGTCCCTCCACTCCTGTGCCAGCCGCAAGGCTCGCTCTGGCAGGGTGCAAGTTTTGACTGTGGTGCTTTTTTGGTTTTTTTGGTGGGGGGGATTTTTTTGGCCCCGTTTTCTCCCTCTGGTGGGTTTGATCGCTTGCCGGGCTCCTGCGCACCTTTCCCAACCTCCTCAGATTTTAACCTACAGAAATCTGGATTCCCGCGGACATGCCCCTGCTCAGCCGCGGCAAATCTGCATCCGACGACCACAGCCGAGTGGCCGGAGGATGTCATAATTTATGATGGGCAGACAAGGACATTGCATAGATCAAACCCAACAGAGCTAACAGTTTCTTTCCGCTCCTCAGCATGTATTTACAGTGATTTCGATTTGCTCAGGCTTAAAAGCGTCTCTTACGTCTGGTCACTTTGATTTCTGCTCAGCCTCTTCAGGAAGAGGGCTGTTAGTCTCATCACTGAAACAGGCATTTTAAGAATCTTCATTTCAAGAAACAGTAAACTGAAGTATTTTGGTCAAAAAAAACAAACTACTGTCCAAAAAAAGAAATCTAATAACGGAAGCAAGATTTGTAGGAAGAACAAACGCCAAAACTAAACCCACTTTTTCATGCGCATGTGCTACGTTTCTATTATATTTATTACAGGCACATACACGGACATGCTTCAGAAGAACAAGAGAAAGGTTGCAAAGCCAACAACTCCAAAATCAGAAAATACTGGAACGCTGGCCAGCAACTTGGCCTCCTGGTCCCCTTGTCAATATATAATTAGGACTGCAGCATAATGTATATCCATAAAGAGGCCAAACTAAGATAACGTGATCTGCTCTATATGATAGTGCCTATATAAACTGTCAAAACCATGTTGAGTGCTTCAGCTCTGGGCAACCTCCCCTTTAGCGGGGTGCAGATTTTCAAGAAGGGGGAAATTGTGAAAATTACATATGTGCACAGAGAATAAGAGGTATCCAAGATAAACATATTAAATAAGACTTGGCTTTGAAAGGGAGAGCTATTTAGCATGTCACATTTTATTACACGTTTGTAACTACACATACGCTTTCCCTCCCTTTATCACATTCACAGTTAAAAATAAGATTAGCTCTGGTCCAAGAGACTTAATCCAGACAGTTATCTTGTTTATGGAAGCAAGGCTGACTTATGCAAGATTTCCACTGGGAATTCTACGTCAAAAGATATGAAAGTTTTTTTCTTTGTTCTCTGAGATAAAAGTCATTGTTCTCCTGTTGTGTAAAAGCTCCCAATAACATTGGTAAAACATCAAGAAAAAAAACCCCTACGTTCAGTTGATACCAACATAAATATTAATGGGAAAACAATACACATCTGAGATTAACTTCAGCTGACTTTATGATCCTTACGACTGTCAGTATGGGGATATGATTTTCGTTTCCCGGCTCCAGCAGCCGGGATGTGCTTTACTGCAGCAGAGGAGAACGTGATGAACGCAATATCCCTGCTGCTTAAATCCTGCTCTTATTCAACCCAACTAAACTGATGCAAAGCGAGCTGCTGGGCGGCAGAACAGTTTTGTGACAGGCACCGAGCTTTCACATCCTCGGCGGGCCGCCAAAGCTCCTCAGGTTGCAGCAATATTGCCGTTAAGTCGCTCGAAACGAAGATGCGGAGTTCGCTGGAGCCAAGCGCCCGTGCTTCGGATTCGGTGGCCGCGACGTGGAGGAGGTGACGCTGGTGGCCACGTTGAGCCTGAACCAGGAGCTGCTCCTGGCAGCGGCAGTCTCCCAGGACGAGCGCAGGGGGAGGGAGGGAGGGGGGGAAGGAGGGAAGGAGACGGCCGAGCCAACGCGCCGGTGCAAACGGCCCCGCTTACCATGGAGTCTAAGGCAGACACTAAGCTGGTGATGATCGCATCTTTCTGAGGAAAAACCATATTCCACTGCTCAGATCTGGTGCTGCTCAGAGTCACGTCTAAAGGCTTCCCCGTCAGGGCCATGTTCACCTGAAAACAGAAAAAAAAAAATGTAAAAAAACAAGACGTGTATTTGGGCTATTAGTCATCGGAAACGGGAGCGGGCGCCGAGTGCTGCGCCCACCTCCCGGCCGTGGCCTGCTGTGGGCGCAG